ATATATATATATATATATATATATATCATTATTACCAAATATTGAACAGTAACATTAACATCATAATTGTAGATTCATTCAATCATTTTCATGGTATATTTTATTCAAACGTGCAAACAGAAACAATACAAGTGTACAGAATTGCAAAATATGACATTGTAGTTATAAGAATTAAATTGCGTCATAGTTGGTTAATTAACAAGCAAAAAACAACAATTCATATCAAAAATACAAATACCTACAAGGAAGAAATTCACTAGACAATAAAAAGCATTCATAAAGAGAAAAATAAAAACGCGAAAATCATTATCATTATTGTAATTATTATTCTAGTCATTCATAAATTCAATTATCTGTTTGATTGCACAAAATACAGTAGAAAATTCGGCTTGCAATAAAATGTTAAAAAAAAGGAAAGAAAATTATTTTTTGTAGATTGACGTTAATAGAACAAATAGTTCGCGTGTTATTACATAACCAAACACTTGCTAGGCCATGGCAACCACTCTTTATTAGCGATATCGTGACGTCAGATATTTATATTAATAATCAATAAGCACATGCAGATCATGGAGCTATAATAAGATATTATAATTCCAGACGTTGATTAGATATTAATTATTATGCATTCTTACCACAATTGGCTTCATCTGATCCATCAACGCAATCTATATTACCGTCGCATCGATATTGCGAATTGATGCAGTCGTAGGTATACTGGCATTGGAACTGATTGGTATTACATGAATCTGAAAATTAATTACCGATAATTATAGTAACAAAAGGTGCTGTGATTCATTGAGAGCAATCTCTGATTATTTTACTATCCTAAATGACAAGGCGCGTCGGTTGTTAAATTCAACCTTGATAGAAAATTTGTAAAAAGTAGTAATCGGTTATATGTGCATATTTAGTGACTATGTTTTATTTATTTCGATCATATCTAGGTTTAAATATTGACATCGATTTGATTCGACCCTATCAGGGAATCGTCAATAGATGAAACAAAAATGATGCGCAGCGTTGCGGGTTGGATAAAATAGTACTTTACAGACCGTGATACATGGGTGTCTTTCAGCCAGGGGAGATAGAAAGGAGGAATCTAATGTCACCAACGAACATATACATTTTTTTTCTCACCACCGAATTGTGGATTCCTTCCCCGAACCCCAACCCC